TTCCCCTTGGGATTCTTGTGTGGTAGCTCGTGTGGTAGGTTCTGATCGGCCATGACAACAAGAATCACGAGTATTGGCAGTGTATTAAAAATCACAAAAAATTGCAGTATTAGCGAAGGTTTTAGTTCAAATCTGTTTCGTTTCGAAATTATTGAAAAATAAACTCGATACTCATAATATTCTGAAAAACATAACCTAAAAATCCTAAAATATTCGACAGGTGTAAAATTGCCTCCGATATTAACCAATCAAAAGGAAGGTCAACGCTTCCCTATGATAACTAATGCTGTCTTCTTGGTTGGAACGGACATAGCAGTTGAATAGGTGCTGGAAAACGGTCCACTCAAGTATGTCAGGTAGTGCCATCTGTCAGCAGAGTGGTTTACTTGTAGTATACCACTCTGTAGCGTATAGACGTAGGGGTCTGTACGTGTGACTATAGATGGCAGCACCATACAGCGTGTGTCGCGATCTCTGGATCCTACCTTGGAGTTTTGCCACTAGATGGCTACAACATGACTATACAACTTCATGTTATACCCCATGTCATAGCATGTTGAAAATAATTCTTCATGGTGTAATATGGGATGTTGTATGAGACATACATACATGGTGTTTCATTGGGAAAAGTGAATAACTCAACTGTGGATAGGGGTCACCGAGGTGATTTCAAAAAACCCATGGATAATGGGTCTTCGACAACTTATAACCAGGATACGGGATGTAACTTCAATTTTACCCATATCATCATTGTCTCATAACTTACCAACCAACCTGTATATTCTTTTGAAAATTGGTACACTATCCTCTGGAAGTGATTGGGGGATCAACAAAAGATAGAATCTAGGTTCGGCTTCACTTAAAATTCAGTAATTTTTTCTGCTCAAAAACAACACTATACATTTGAATTTCTCAATTTTTGGCGATATCTGAGAAGAGGATCAGAATGTCTATTCAACGACGTACTTTTCATTCATGCACATACGATTTTTACTACTCATATTATGTGCTCAAAATATTATTTTTGATCATTTTGGGGTATATAGTGAAGTCAGACAAAGATTTATCAGTTTTATTACTTCCTATTCAGTTTACGTGAGTATAAAGTTTGGGAGGAGCGTTTCATATCGTTCTTTGTATCCATCCCGACTATTAGAAAATATAGTTGCAGGTCCATCATCCAAACTATATACAGGGCTCTTCACGATGAGCGTTAATTAGACGTTCTCGGCAAACCAGGCAACGGATGAATCTGAATAAAATTCGATGGTATGTATAAATCAACATAATCTACACGTCTGAAATATTTTGAACGAATCGGCGTTGCCACTTTCACTAAGTTCTGATGACGGACCTGCAACTAAGTCTGGATGGATGCAAAAAACGATATGAAGTACTCCTTCTGAATGTAATACGCACGTAAACTGAATATAGGAAGTAATTAAATTTATAAATCCTGTCTGATTCCAATTTGGACCCCGAAATGAGCAAAAATAGTATTTTGTGCACATAATATGAATAGGTAGAATCGTCTGTGCACGAATAAAAAGCACATCGTTGAATATACATTTTGATGCTCTTTCGAGATATGGCAAAAAAATTAGAAATTCAAATGTATAGGGTGTTGTTTCCTGGCAGAACGAATTTGTGAATTTCAAGTGAAGCCGGACCTCGATTCTATTTTTTGTTGATGTCTCGATCAATTCCACAGGACAGATTGAGTAAGTGTACCAATTTTCAAAAACATACACAGGTTATTGGTTGAAAAGTTATGAGACAATAGAGATATGGGCAAAATTGATGAAATATCACGTATCTCGGTAATAAGACGTCGTAGACCCATTCCATAGGTTTTTTGAAATCACCTCAAAGCCCCCTATCCACAGTTGAATATTCACCTTTCCCAATGCAACACCCTGTATAATAATGACACAAACAGAGGAAAACAAAATTTGTTCGTAGCAATCAAACATTCTCTCACGGTAAATTCCAATTCTCGTTGGATATTATGACACAGTTTTCATTAATTGAAAAGTATTAAGGGGCTCATTAAGCACAACAACATCAACGGAAACGCTCTGGCAGGTGAGTTTGGCTTCTCTGGAGTTATTGAGAGGCCAAATGACACCGAATAAAATGATTGCTGCCATAGCAGCCAACTTCATTCCGAAAGAGACAAGATTCACTATATGAAAAGGTACAGTCGTCTTCAGAGAGATCATGTCGCACATGGACGGTGTCATCAGCTCCCTTGATCACTGCTGCAATAACAGCGCTCATTCCGTCCAACCGCGACATGTTCGCTGAAGACGACTGTATCTATCATGGCATAGTGTCGCTCATACTTTCTTTCGTTTTTTTCCTTCGTGTCACATTCCGTCAATTATAATAAACATTTACGAATAAACATTTTTAAACTGCACTAGAGTTCCTAAATGTACTTGACACTGCTGTTTTGACATTTTTTGTATATTAGAGTACGGACACTAGACAAGCAGTGACAATCAAACATAACCACAAACGATTTTGAAACAAATCATATGTCGTGCCAGAATATGTTTTTGCTTAGATAAAGGATCCTCGCATCTTCCTTCCTTTACAAGTCCTGGGAAGAGTACATCCATATATCTTTCTTTGTCTTTAATTTTCGTATGAGAGTGCATAGCGTCTCCTGGAGTGGGTGAAAGGGTACGATAAATTGATTCGAAAATTATTTCTTCTCGAAATATTGAATGATAAGGCTGAAGGACCTCAATCGAGACCTCAATGGAGGTTGATATCAAGTTGGTATATACATATATACCAACGAAATATATATAATATTCAATATTCCTAGGTATATATATACGTTCCGTTGAATATTTTTTTATCACAAAAGTTCAGAATGGAGTGAAAAATGATAAATTTCAACCAATGAAACATGTTTTCATTTCGTATGGAACAATTTCACTTGTACAAGAGTGGTAGGTAATGAGTAATTAATAAATGGAGAAATGATATGGCAACAATAACAAGCTGATTTCAGTTAAGATAAATAATAACCCAGATAACACAGGATATCCTATGGATATCCTTCTCAAGTCCATTTCAGGTCGGGATATCCTGGGACATGAAATGGATATCCATAGGATATCCGTCAGAGGATATCAAATGGATATTCTGATGCGGATCACCTATGGACGTCCATGAGATGTTCGTTTAGCGAACAAAAATTGTTAATTGAGAATGGTTCAAAACAATACGAATCATCACAAATATCACATGCAAATCACATGTTTATTAGAAATTCAAAGGTAGTTTTCCATCATATAACTATTGTTATGTAGGTATAATATGTTTATAGCCACAATTAAGATATCCGATGCAAATATGAATTCATATAAATAACAACACCACAGTTTGGAATTTTTCTCTGTTGTTCAATGTTTTCGTACAAAAATATACAATCACCCGAAAATAACTCTCATATATATTTACTTTTTTGTGGTCTTCAGATGGACATCCATGAGATATTCATCCATGGATTTATAGCGGATATCCATCAGAAGATATCTTATGGATAGCCATAAGATATCCAAAGAAAACATGAAATCATATTTATGTCAAAATAACTTTTGTTCTGCAACATTTTCGCACAAAAATATGATTTTTCAGAAATAACTTGTATCTCCATTTTTTTCCTTGGGATTGAGATGGAGATCCATAAGAAGATATATTCGCATCCCTGAATTCAAAACTGGGTAGGTATTTTCCCAATGGATAGTAATAAAATATTCTGAAGCAATAAAATATAAATCGCATTCGCGTGAATGACAAATTTTCCAAAAGAAAGATGGAAAAATCTAAGTGAATCTAATTCTTGAATTCACCTTAACAGCATTTCGGAAAATAGCTTCATTGTTGCGCTAGGGATAACGCGATTCAAATCCGGCCACCTCGCCTCCTCTATTTATCTCTCAAAAGATTGAATTCAATTCGAATTGACCTCCATGGCTAGAATCGTTCTGATTGGTCTAAAAATGCATCCATGTCGAAAGTCATGGTAAATTGAATTCTTTCATGAGGTATGAGCTAAAGCTTAAGGTAGTTCACTCCTATAACACATGGTGTTCTATATTGTTAAGGATATTTAGTGAATATCCCTGAAAAATATCTCATGGATATTTGTGAACAATATCTTATGGATATCCCTGAAAAATGTCTTATGGATATTTGTGAACAATATCTTATGGATATCCCTGAAAAATGTCTTATGGATGTCCCTGAAGGATATCCTATAGAAGTCCAACTCCTTCCACTCGGCACGTCCATTGGACGTCAATAAGATATACATCGGATATCACTGGATATTCTCTGGATATCCCAAATATCCTAAATGGACGTCCAATGGATGTCCATCGAATGTCCGTGTGTTGACTGGGAAAGGTACTCCAGGACAAACGGAAGTAGATATAGATGGACTCGACTCAGACTCACTATAGATCGCCGTTCACATTACTAAAGGGGATTGTTGGCTTGAACCCGGCCATACAAAAAATGTCAAAACAGCAGTGTCAAGTACAGTCGCATTTAACGTCATCTTATTCTGCATAAAACGGGCTATCGGGAATGATTGTTCACCAAATGTTGACAGTAAAGTTGTCATAGGTTCTTGAAAATACAAAGCATTGGCTAAGCCAGTTTTACACAACTAGAACTAGGATCCCGAAATCCTCTCTTTTTAATACTTGTACGCTTATTTTTCATTGAATACGACTGTACATTTAGGAACTCTAATCTAATATAGCCGTAGAAGAATCATAGTGCATAACTTGCACGAAATGATAATTTCCTAGTCGAATGATTGCAGCATTCGCCTATGGTTCATGCTGCGAACTGCATTCTCGTAGGAAATCACATTCCGTGCTCGTTAAACAAAATACTATTCTGTAGCATTTTTGTTGTTGACGATTTTCATTTTCTAGGCGAAAGGTACGTTTACAAGTTCGTGTGCGACCCAGAGGCGCTCTTCAATATGGCGTACGGCGGCCATCACGGGGACAATTCGACGACCAACAAGGGCCAGACGTGCGATTCCAGGCCGGAGAATCTGAGCACGAAGGCCGAGTCGCATCATTTGGCCTACACGGACATGCTCAACTTTTACAACTGCGGCATAGCGCACTCGTACCAGCACTTGCATCCCTACTTGCAGGAAGGGAAGCATACACGATTCGCATAATATTATATTTTTTCTTTTGTTTAATGATTTGAAATATATGTATATATGTTGAATTTGAGTGGCTGTTTCTGTTATCCTTTAATATTTCTAAAAAATTTGTTCTAAAATTTGTTCTATCCGTCATTCGGTTGCCCCCTTACGAGCAACCCTCAAAAGTCTTCGAAAGTCTTGTGCGAGCAAGGAATGACGGGGGCCTTACCTTTTAACGTGTGATCCCAAACACTTTCTTGGGCCATCAGAAAAATTTCTGCAGTCGACGGGGATCGAACCCACGACCGGCAAGCGAATGCGAATTAGAATATAGACACTCTGCCGCACGGCTCTCCTGATCCCAGCTAGCATTCACACGTCAATTTCACGTCATATACACGTCACCAATTACGTCAAGATCACCAAATTATCGACGTGAAAGAGACGTAAATGTGACGTCAATATGTCACATCGAAACGACGTCATCTAGCAACGTCGTTTCAACGTCATTTAGCGACGTCGTTTCAACGTCATTTAGCGACGTCGTCTACACGTCGAATAGTTACCAAGCATCAGGTCCAGGTTTCAACATCACCAAGAAACTGTGAAACTCGAAATCACTTTTCCATGATCCTATTCCTTGATCTTGAAGGTTGGCAAAACAGTTCAAATGATCTAGTTACAATAGTTGTGGAAATTATTTATTTGTTCACATATAATTATATATAGGTACATAGGTATTCTTCAACTGAATTAAACTAATAAGCATAAAATTCACTATATTCCATAGTATATGTAGACATTAAACAAGTTGTCAAGTTTCAAAGGAATCTCAACCTAACAACCTCAAATTATTCTTGTACCTACGATTTAAGGTATTTATAGATTACCTTCTTCAAATAACAACCTCACTACATCGAACAACTTCCAATGAGTTTCATTTGTAGATTTCGCTTTCTTGATTATTAACCTGTTGAAAAAGTCTTGATGTTTGATAGGCGGCCACTACACTTCGCAGCCTTACGAGGCGTCATGGGGTCAACCACTTCTACTGAAGCAATGCCTTTCCTCGGAATATTGTATTCCCAGAAACATTTCTACTGCCTGGAATTAATAAAACAACCAGTGAACTGCAATATATTTTGCTGAACCCCACTTTTTCATAGTATTTCATAGATTACTGTGCTACGACGATAGCCGATAATAGGGGTAGCGTAGCAATGGCATAGTACGAAACGAAGACACACGAAGCCACGGAGCACGGATTGACCAATCATAAGCATCTGTATGTCTTGACGTGGCGCACCAATATTAAACATGTATAGGCACCTGGTATATACATTTAATAAATTCTTGAATCTTTCGTATCTGTTTCCAAGTTATCTCTATCAGGGTGTTTTTATTGATATTTGTTCTACATATTTCACCATACTTAGGTTTATCCATGTCGGGTATACGAGAATCCTTTACTAAGGTAGGTACCTATTTTATTTTGATAAGCACTTAATCATGAGTCCTGGATATGCAGTTCATGAAGTAATTTCTTCGAAATGAAACAACATGATTGGTGCAGATTTTACGTCTAAATGACGTCTATCAGATACGTTTTTGGAACACGTCAAAATCACGTCATTTATTGGTCGAATCTTGAAGACGACCAATTGCCACCTATTTTCCACGTCGATTCGACGAGAATTGACGTCACCCTACTGGCTGGGATATACCGACATATCGATGAAGCCTTGGGAATCGGAATTTTAGATTATCGAGTAAAAAATTACCTTTCACATATTACTGCTCTCCTGATACCACCTTTTCGATTTCGCCTAAAAAATCGGAATTTTTGATGATCGACTGAGAAATTTCTGTTTTCAGGCTGAGCATCATTTGTCCTACACGGACATGCTCAATCCTAATCGCACACAAAGTCCTATAGGAACGTCTCTATTTGGTACAATTCAAGTCCGAATGTCCCGAACCAAGAATAAGTGTCCATCCCGTACATCTCATGCAATTTCCGAGCAAGGACGTCCACGGAATGTCCCAGCTGGTACATCATTTCAAATTTCCCAGAAATAGCATCCCTTATAGACGTCCCACGTGGTACGTACATATTGTAGAATGTCCATGCAAGGACGTCCTTGGTATGTCCCTGATGGGATATGATTTTAAACGTTCCTTTAGGGACATCTATCGGATGTCCCGAGTAGTACGACATATGATGGCCTGACTTCAGATCTCATATATAATGCCCCTCCTAGTCAACCATAAAATGTCCCTGATGGTACATTCCTTCAAATATCTCTGCACAGACGCCCTTGATATTTTCAGGATCGTTTAACAATCGAAATGTTCCTTAGGGATATCCTTCGAATGTCCTTTAGGGATATCCGTCCCAATTGGTACAAGAACTATACTCTTCCAATGTCCAAGAAATAATGTCCTACGGACGACCCAGTCGATAATACTTTCAATATGTTGTCCCTGCGACGACGTTAACTTGTACCTCGCCGACGAATTATTGCTCGTAGACTATAAATGTCCTTCACGTAAGTCCATTGGACATCCTTGGGGAACTTTTTCAGGATCTATTAGGGACCTTCTTCGGACCATCAACTCAACTGAATGTCCTCATCAGTTATGCAAGATCTGGACCTATAGAGGAACCCAAAATAATTCATATTCAAGAATAATTCGTACGTCCCTGGACATCCTATAAACATCCAATTGATATCCCTCAGCGTTGCTGATAGGTTGTCCTACGGATGTCCTAAGGATGTCTGCCGTAGTGCTTGATGAGGAATTCAGTAGGATTTAGGTTTTTGATAGTTGTCCCAGGGACATCCCTCAAAGACGTCCCTAGTTGGTCCTCGTCCTAAGGATGTCTGCCGTAGTGCTTGATGAGGAATTCAGTAGGATTTAGGTTTTTGATAGTTGTCCCAGGGACATCCCTCAAAGACGTCCCTAGTCGGTCATCAAGTGGGACATTTGTGCGTCCCACAGACGTCCGATGGACGTCCACGTTACCAAATTCGAACGTCCCAAGGACGTCCTGAATGTCCCGACAAGACGTCCTAAGGATATTCATGGGACATAAATGTGTTATTAGAGAACTTCTACAACTGCGACATTGCGCAATCGTACCAGCACTTGCAAGAAGGGAAGCATACGCGATTCGCATGATATTAATTTGTTTCTATTGTTCAATGATTTAAAATATATGTCTCATCCACTTCTAACGGAAACACCACCATATCTTACGTAATGGTTGGGTTAGGATCCTGAAATTTGCTGGAGCGAGAGAATTCTGGATATGAACACCTGTTGAAATTAAAATTATATTGACAAAATAATATATCTTCTATTTTTTTATATCCCAACAGAAAGCAACATTATTTTCTTGGCTATATGTGATACCACGTTAAATTATCTTTCTTATATATCTGATGTAGTGAAGGAATATTTGATGACGAAAATTTGTAATAGCCATATCTCAGGAATTGATTATGAAAATTATCGATTCGAAATTTGAACACCCTGCTGTTCATTATCTGAAAATCTAATAGTATTTTTCTAGTTAAAATAGCTCTATTTCTCACTTCTACCTACGGCTATGAACGGTTTGACAAATAATCTAACCCTCAAAATTATTTCTGACAATCATTGATATACTAGGGGATTGCTAGGGGAATTAAAAAGACAGAGCTCGATATACAGTGTGTCCACCTTAAGGACTTACCACCCCTGTAAAATTGTTATTATCTGACCGATTTCAAAAAAGTTTTTTTTGTTGGATAGGTATTTGAAATGTTCATCTAACAAGAGAGTGATTTTACTCATGAACTGTAATCGTGGCCAACTGCGACCAACTTTATTGACCCATATTTGAGAAAGTACTATTAGGGATTTTTTTTGACAAAAAACAATGATAGATTCTGAATCACGATCACTTGAAAAACACCTTTACTGATTTTTATCATCATAAAACACAGGGTGTCCAGAAAAAGGAATTATGTTTTTTTTTAATAGGTGATCAGAAATTGTAGTATTGTGGTATTTTTGAGAAGAATTGATGACACATTATTATTGAGGATCACTTTGAACATATCTGTAGCGATTTTCATCATTCAAAAATACGATGTGCATGAGAAAACAATTAAAAAGAAGAAGTAGGCAATATTTTTTCATCAACTCAAAAAAAATATTAATCTGATTTTTCGAACACCCTGTGTGTAATGATGATGAAAATCGGTACAGGTATGTTCCAAGTGATCCTGATTCATCTTTTCATTTTGAGTGAAGAATTATCAGGATGAAAAATATTGCTTACCGATCCTTTTTAATTTTTTTCTCAGACACATATTGTATATTCAAAAGACGAAAATTGGTACAGGTATATTTGAAATAATCCTCAATGATAATTTGTGATTATTTCTTTCTAGAAAAACCACAGAACTACATTTGCTGATCACCTATTTGAAGAAAATGATGATTCGTTTTTTCGGACACCCTGTGTTTTATGATGATTAAAATCGGTACAGGTATATTTCAAGTGGTACTGATTCAGAATCCATCATGAAGTTTCGTGGAAAAAAATCCCTAATAGTACTTTCTGGAGTATGGGTCATTGAAATTTGACGCAGTTGGCCACGATAACAGTCCAAGTATTAGATCATTTTCTTGTTGGATGGGCATTTTGAATACCTATCCAACAAAAAAAGGTATTTTGAAATCGGTCGGATAACAACGATTTTACAGGGGTGGTAAGTCCTTAAGGTGGACACACTGTATATATATATCTTATTCCTTTATGGGTTGCGTGCAAGAACTGTCAGATGACCGACACTGGAGTCAAAACATTGAAACACAACGTCACTTTTCTTATTTGTTTACAAGTGATCGAAATAGTTTTCCACAATTATTTTGGCATATGAATCGATCGTATTTGTCTGCTATTCATCAATTCGCTCATGCCATCACATTGTGCTGTTGTAAAATGCACAAAAACTGCAGCGGAAGATGAAGGAATC